GAGCTGCGGGACCGCCGGGACGGCGGGCGGGTGATTGCGACAGGCCGCCACTGGATGGATCCGTCGCGGATCAATTTTTTATTAGAGCTCGAAGGCTTCCTCCTCTACTCCTCCGTCTCTGCCGAAAGGCGCTCTCCCAGCCGGGCCCCCTCTCGATTCAATTCAAGACAGCTCTGCAGCGGGCCGATACACATGGAGCTCGCAGCCGGCGCTGGCGTAGCCGCGGCTGCGGCGGCCGGTGGGGCCGCGTACCTGCGTAGTCGACGGGGCCCGGCGTCTGGCAAGGAAGGCACGACCAAATGGCAGTGGCGCGCGGCTGCCGTGAAGGAGCGGCGCGCCCTGTGCATCTGCTGCTCCTACCCGGGGACGCAGTGGGCGCTGCCGGGCTGTGTGCCCGACCAGGAGGCCATGGTCAAGACGCTCATACGTAACAGCTACGCCGTCACCTTTCTGGCTGACCACACACCCGCCTGGGGCCAGCCCAAGCCGAGCGCGCTCAGCAATCGCCGCAATATCCTCGCCGAGCTCGAGGCGCTGTGCCGCTGGCTCCACGCGGCTCCAGGCAGGCAGGGTTGGGTCTCGTACTCTGTGAGAGCTTTGTAGATGCCATGCCGGGCCTCATGCTGGGTGGGAAGAGCTCTCTCAGATCCGCCCTTCGCCCCCCTCGTGCGTCGACAAACCTCTCCGCCGACGCCTTTTCAGGGCCACGGCACGCAGACTGCCGACCGCGGCGGCGACGAGGCAGACGGCCTCGACGAGGCCGTGCAAGGTGCGACCTTACACCCTCCTTTTTTGCGTGCTCACCGCTTGCCTCTGTTCCGCAGGCGATGGTGCCCTGCGACTTCAAGATGGCAGGCCTGCTGACGGACGACAAGCTCCGCACGACCATCCGATTCGGCGCGGGCTCCTCGCTCATGTTCTTCTTCGACTGCTGCCACAGCGGCACGATCCTCGACCTGCCGTACACGCTGCGCCACACCCTCTCCGGACCCGAGTACCCGATCGAGACCGAGGCGGGCGCCATCTTTTGCATCTCGGCGAGCAAGGACGACCAGTCCGCCTACGAGACGGCAGAGGGCGGCGTGTGCACGCGCGCTTTCCTCGGCGCATACACGCCCTCCGTCTCCCCGGCGGCGACGCTGCGACTGATGCGCCGGTACGCCGAGCGAAAGGGGATGCCGCAGACCATCATGATGGCGTCAAACCGTCCGTTCACCGAGGCGGACGCCTCCTTCGTTGAGGCTGAGCCCGAGGGCGGCGGGGGCTTTTGCGCCGCCTTTCACCGCTGCCAGAACCGGCTCGGCTGCTCAAAGGGGCGCAGCAAAGCAGGCAGCGGGGGGGGAGAGAGAGAGAGAGAGCGAGGGAGAGCGAGAGGGGGCGGGGTGGGGGAGGCGCCGGGGAGATGCTCGAGCGGGGCCGCGCTTCGTGAGAGAGAGTGATGCGCCGGGGCCCTCTAGGCGACTTTGGCGGCGAGAACCCAGCGGCGCGGAGTCTCGAGCTGAACAGAGGGGAAGCATCTGGGCGCGGGCCCAAGCTCCATCCCAGCTGCCCCGACCCGCTCTCGACCACGAAGGGGCGCGCTTACGTCGCCGCTCGCCGTGCGAAGCTGGCGGCGCCCCCTCCGTAGGGCCCGAGAGGCAAGGCGGGGACCGACTCTGTCCGCGCAGAGTGCGAGCACACAGGTAAGTCGAGAGGAGGGGGCGAGGAGCGACGCCGCTGACGGGAGCGGAGATTCGGGAGCGATCTCGGCGCGCGTTGCGGGCGGCCCCGGAGTGATCGACATATCCTGTCCGATCGAGAAAAAGCGGCAAAACCAACGGTCCACGCACTGCGCGCGTGTGCATTCTATACATGCAAAGCTCGCTCTCTACTCTCTTCCGAGCTCTCACGCCGCGCGCGTAGGGCCCTTAGGGGCCTAGAGAACACAACCCCCTCAGCCCTCTCTCTTTTTTCCCAGTAAGCTAAAAGTACATACACACATACATGCACAAAAAAACAACGTCGAGTATCTCCCCCTACCCCTCCCCTTGCGCGCGCGTGAACACGACTCTCATAGACACCATGTCTCCCTGCGGCGTCCGCTTCCGCACGTCGATGCACATGCGACCGTCCGCGGATAGCGTGCGGCGGCAGATGGAGAGCTCGACCTCGCCCTCCGCGCCGCCCGTCCCCGCCGCCGTCTCCTTGACGACGAGCGCGCCGCCCTCGCGGAAGGCGCGGTAGCGAACGGGCCGCTTGTTGTCACCTTCGCCCGCGACAGCGCCGCCGTCGAGGGGCAGCACGAGCTCAGACGAGCCGCGGATGTCGCGCGTGACGATGTGTAGTCGGCCCGCCTTCTTTGCAATCACCTGCACCTGCCCGGCGCGCAGCACCGCCGCCCGCTGGAGCGGGTTGAACCCGAGGCGCTCGAGGAAGCGCTCCATGTCGTGCCGCTCCTCCATCCTCCACGAGCCCGAGAAGTCCTCCGTTTCGCCCATCAGGGACTGAACCCGGCGCCAAGCGTTGCGTGACTGGACCCAGCTGTCGAACCCTCGCAGCCGCTGCAGAAGCGGCTTTTCGAGCTGCTGCACGCGCGCCGCCGCCATCGCCAGGATCTCCTGCGCCTCAAACGTCTGCACCGGGAGCAGCCGGATCGAGCCGAGCGGCGGCCGACCGAGCGACCCCTTGAGCGCCTGCGCGGTGAGGCGTCGTAGGTCGCTTGCGCTCTGCACTCGCGCACTCTCCAGCTGCTCGACCACCGCCGCGATCTTCTGCCCTGTCCACTCCACGCCGCCGACCAGGCCGTCCATAAAGGCCCGGAGCTCATCGGCAGGGTTGGGCGCCGCGGGCTTGGCAGGGCGGGGCGAGACGACCTTCGCGGAGGGCGCCGCGGCCGTGCTGGGCGATGCAGTGGTGAGCAGAAGTGTGGCTAGGAAGCTGCTGTAGACGTCCATACTAGTACCCGGTATGCGCCTGGCGAGGTACTCCCACGCCTCTCGGGGGTTTTGTCTGGCCGAGTCAACTGGGGCGAGCCTCGGCGAGACTGCGTCAGCTGTTCCCAGTTGGGCCCTCAGAGAGGAAACGAGAGGGTGCTGTCGAGAACACGAAAAGAAATAAGTTTTTTAAACGGTTGCCCGGCCGGGTTGCTGCGCAAATCTCGCGCTGCGCTAGGCCCAGAGCGAGTTCGCGCTGCGCTAGGCTCAGACGGCGTGCGTGCGCGGGCCGCCGGGGTGAGGACCACCCCACCTTCCCACGCCCACCTCCTTCGGGCTCGGCAGCTTGTCGGGCTCTACCTCAGCCCTCAGCCGAAGCTGGGGCCGGTCCCGTAGGCCGTCCGTAGAGCCGAGAGAGCCCCCGCGTCCCGCGATGAGCGATGAATTCGCGGGGTCGGCGCCGTCGCCCGTCGGGCGGTCGGGGGCTCGCGGGGGGTGGCGTGGGAGCGCAGCATTCCCAGCCCTTGAGGGCGGGTTTTGATTAGTAGAACAGTCCCTTGTGTCGCTGGTGCGCTTGGTCCTTCTTTGAAGCTATTA